GCTTCTCCCTCTCCTACTCCCCCTGCTTGTGTTCCCTCTCTCGCTGTGTCTCTGTCAAATAAATAAATAAAATCTTAAAAAAAAAAAAAGAAAACTGACAGCTTCACTGGTGAACTCTATCAAATGTTTAAAGAATTAACAACAATCCTTATCAACCTCTTCCCAAAAATGGAAGAAGAGGGAGCACTTCCCAGATCATTCTATGAAGCCAGTATTACATCTTTTTTTTTTTTTTTTGAAGTAGGCTCCATGCCCAGCGTGGAGCCCAACATGGGGCTCAAACTCATGACCCTGAGATCAAGACCTAAGCTGAGACCAAGAGTCGGATACTCAACCAAATGAGCCACCCAGGCGCTCCAAGCCAGTATTATATCTTCATACCAAAGCCAGATAGGACATTACAAGAAAAGAAAAATACAGAATATCCCTTATGTAGATACAAAAAATCCTCAACAAAATACTAGCAAACCAAATCCAACAAAGTACAAAATTACATGATCATTTCGATAGACACAAAAAGGCATGTGACAAAATCCAACACCCTTTCATGATAAAGACATTCGACAAACTAGGAATAGAAAGAAATCTCAAACAATAAAAAGGAACTTCCACAACCTAATGAAGGACAGCTATGAAAAACCTGCAGCTAACATCATACTTAATGATAAAAGACTGTAAGATTTCTTCCTAAGGTGAGGCAAAAGAAAAGGAGGTCTGTGACCGAGCAATTGCACTACTACTGGCTATCTACCCCAAAGATACAAATGTAGTGATCTGAAGGGGCACCTGCACCCCAATGTTTATAGCAGCAATGTCCACAATAGCCAAACTATGGAAAGAGCCTAGATGTCCACAGATGAATGGATAAAGAAGATGTGGTATATATATACAATGGAATATTATTATGCAGTCATCAAAAAAATGAAATCTTGCTATTTGCAATGACGTGGATGGAACTAGAGGGTATTATGCTAAGCAAAATATGTCAATCAGAGAAAGACAATTATCATATTATTTCACTCATATGTGGAATTTAAGAAACAAACAAAGGATCATAGGGGAAGAGAGGAAAAAATGAAAAGACAAAACCAGAGGGGCTCCTGGGTGGCTCAGTTGTTGAGCAGCTGCCTTCGGTTCAGCTCATGATCCCAGGGGCCTGGGATCGAGCCCTGCATCGGGCTCCCAGCTCAGCAGGGAGTCTGCTCCTCCCTCTGCCCCTCCCCCTACTTGTGTTCCCTCTACCACTATGTCTCTCTCTGTCAAATAAATAAATTAAAAAAAAAAAAAAAAAAGATGAAACCAGAGAGGGAGACACACCATAAGAGACTCTTAATCTTAGGAAACAAACAGGGTTGCTGGAGGGGAGGTGGGTGGGGGGATGGGTAACTGGGTGATGGACATTGGGGAGGGTATGTGTTGTAATGAGCACTGGGTATTACTTAAGACTGATGAATCACAGACCTGTACCCCTGAAACAAATAATACATTATATGTTAAATAATTGAACTTATATTTTTAAAAAATAAAATAAAATATGCAAAATCCTTTAAAAAAAAAAAAAAAAAGAAAGAAAGAAAAGGATGTCTACTCTCACCAGTTCTATTCAGCACTGTACTGGACATTCTAGCCAGAATCAGGCAAGAAAAAAGGCCTCCAAACTGGTAAAGAAGTAAAACTATTCTTATTTGCAGATGACATGATCTTATATATAGAATCACTAAAGAATTCATAAAACTATTAGAGGCAATAAACCAAGTTGAAGAATACAAAATCCGTATATAAAAACCAGTCATATTTCCATAAACTAGCAAAGAATAATCCAAAACCAAAATTAAGAAAACAATTCCATTTACTATAGCACCTGAAATCATAAAATACTTAGGAATAAATGTAACAAAAGAAATAGATTTATGCACTGAAAACTACAAATTACTGTTGAAAGTGTTTAAAGAAGATCTAAATAAATGGAAAGATATCCCATATGCATCAATCAGAAGACTTAATATTGCTGAGATGGCAATACTCCTCAAATTAATATACAGATTCAATATAATCCCTATCAAAATCCCAGTTGGCTTTTTTATAGAAATTAACAAGATAATCCTAAAATTCTTATGTACATAGGTGGACCACAGAATAGCCAAAACAATCTTGAAAAGGAAGAACAAACCCAAAGGACTCACATCATCATTTCAAAACTCAACACAAAGTCATAACAATACTGTGTAGTACTGACCTGAGGAAAGACAAACAGATCAATAGGATAAAACTGGGAGTCCAGAAATAAACATACACATCTATGACCAACTGATTTTTGACAAGGGTATCAAGATCATTTAATGTGGAAAGAATAGTCTTTTCAATAAATAGTGCCAGAATAACTGGATATTCACATGCAAAAGAATGATTTTGGACCCCCATCTTGTACCATATAAAAAAATTGGATCGGGGCGCCTGGGTGGCTCAGTTGGTTAAGCAACTGCCTTCGGCTCAGGTCATGATCCTGGAGTCCCAGGATCGAGTCCCACATCGGGCTCCCTGC